CCAGCGATTGCGGTGACAGTGATGTGCCGTTCGGTATGAAGAGGTGGTTGTGTGTCGTGCGGACAGCCGTCTGAGTGGTGGTCAAGAGGTCGTCAAAGTTGGGTGGAGTCGAGCGGTCAGAAGACGGGGGCGTTTCCGGTGTCTGAAGAAGGGTTTGCGTGGCGTCTGCTGTGACGGACAGCGCGGCGGTCGTCGTGTCCATCATCTGAGTTATCATTGAATCACAACTGTTGGAGTCGTTGGACAACAGGTCCGCCCAAACGCACGGATCTAAGTCGAGGTCTGGAGACGGATCCAAAACACACGTGAGAGACATGTCTTAGCGGTGATGAGAAGGTGTGGTTCAGACAACACATACCTAAGTCGTCATCCGTCAGCATATTATTGACGATAAACTTGTCGTCAGCGATGGCCAGCAGTTGGTCCGTCGGACACAAGAGTTGACTCATTTGTGGTGATAATTGGTGTGAATGGGTGTCAAGTCATACACTCCTCGCGAGTCATGCAATGAATGTGTGAAGCGATGAACAACTCATCCATTAATGCATTATTCAATCAATTGTTTACTTTTGCTCTCATTTCGCACTCACTGTTGGCTTTAAAAGGCAATACATTTGGCGCGCATTTCAACTCAACTTTTCATTTATTTTGAGTGCATTTTAAATACAACTTATTTTAAACTCTTTTATTTGCTAACCTATTGTTGGTATTTGTAACGCAAAACACAATTTTTGATTGTTATGAAAAATTTTTTATTTAAACAATAGTTTCTCTACAATTAGGGTTTAATTTTTGTCTAATTTTCGAAACTCGAGAAATATTATTTTTACAATGATTACTTTTATCAAATTATTTAAATTTAAAAAACATTTAAAAGTTTTAAAATCAAATTACATTAAGTTAAATTTGTGAAAATTGTAAGAAAATTATAGGTTTCCTTCAAATTTATAAAAATATTCTAAACAATTATTTAGATAACATTTTCACTGATATTACGAATAAATATTGCAAACTTAAACTAAATTATTTAAATAGTTTTATTGAGATTTTAAAATTTATTTGCTTTCAATTTTAAAACTATATCTATTCACTCATTGTTGTGCATAAAGTGCCAGAAATTAATGGATAATATTGTGTTAATATAGCCAATACTGTATTAATTACAAACACAACACTCATACAGCACTTCATTATCATTGATGAGTGTAATTTGAATATGAATTGACTTTTAAAGTAAAAGTTTTTCCTTTTTAATAACTTTTAATTTTTACTTTTACTTACAAGTTAATAAAGTTTTACTTTTAAGACACATTAAAATATTTTTTATTTAAAATATTATACAATTAATCATATTTTACATCTTTATTCCCCAATATTTATCCTAAATATATACAAAATTCACATTTTTCTGGTTATAAAATTTCAATTAACAAAATATTTATGTTATTTCTTATGTAATTCCTACTGATTGGGGAGAGAGAGAGAGAGAGAGAGATTTAAGTAAACAAGAATTTAGATATAATGTTCAGAAGTGTTTTCCTAAAAAATATTTTCTTATTGTTTTGTTTGACTTTCAGAAAGAGACGCATAAAAAAGTATTTCAGTTTAAAAGTTAAAACATTTCTCAGGAGAGAGAGAATGAGATAAAACTATAAGTCGTTTACTGTATGGAAGTGAAGGAGACTTTAATTTTTTGCGAGTAATTCATTGCAATGAATGCTTGAATTGTTTTTATATTATATTCCGTGGATATTATGTTAAATAAAACATAAAACTAAATAAATGGCAAATAATTTTGTGTCTGTAATTCATTTTTTTCGCTCAAAACCTCTTAAAAACGATTTGAAGGCATACAACGGGTNAGGACTCATTGGACACCAATTGATGGCCGGTATGAGAGCGACGCCGTTGGCCAGCGATTGCGGTGACAGTGATGTGCCGTTCGGTATGAAGAGGTGGTTGTGTGTCGTGCGGACAGCCGTCTGAGTGGTGGTCAAGAGGTCGTCAAAGTTGGGTGGAGTCGAGCGGTCAGAAGACGGCGGCGTTTCCGGCGTCTGAAGGGTTTGCGTGGCGTCTGCTATGACAGCGGTCGTCGTGTCCATCATCTGAGTGATCATTGAATCACAACTGTTGGAGTCGTTGGACAACAGGTCCGCCCAAACGCACGGATCTAAGTCGAGGTCTGGAGACGGATTCAAAACACACGTGAGAGACATGTCTTAGCGGTGATGGGAAGGTGTGGTTCAGACAACACATACCTAAGTCGTCATCCGTCAGCATATTATTGACGATAAACTTGTCGTCAGCGATGGCCAGCAGTTGGTCCGTCGCACACAAGAGTTGACTCATTTGTGGTGATAATTGGTGTGAATGGGTGTCAAGTCATACACTCCTCGCGAGTCATGCAATGAATGTGTGAAGCGATGAACAACTCATCCATTAATGCATTATTCAATCAATTGTTTACTTTTGCTCTCATTTCGTACTCACTGTTGGCTTTAAAAGGCAATACATTTGGCGCGCATTTCAACTCAACTTTTCGTTATTTTGAGTGCATTTTAAATACAACTTATTTTAAACTCTTTTATTTGCTAACCTATTGTTGGTATTTGTAACGCAAAACACAATTTTTGATTGTTATGAAGTTTTTTTAAACAATAGTTTCTCTACAATTAGGGTTTAATTTTTGTCTAGTTTTCGGAACTCGAGAAATATTATTTTTACAATAATTACTTTTATCAAATTATTTAAATTTAAAAACATCTAAAAGTTTTAAAATCAAATTACATTAAGTTAAATTTGTGGAAATTATAAAAAAAATTATAGGTTTCCTTCAAATTTATAAATATATTCTAAACAATTATTTAAATAACATTTTCACTGATATTACGAATAAATATTGAAAACTTAAACTAAATTATTTAAATAGTTTTATTGACATTTTAAAAGTTATTTGCTTTCAATTTTAAAACTATATCTATTCACTCATTGTTGTGCATAAAGTGCCAGAAATTAATGGATAATATTGTGTTAATATAGCCAATACTGTATTAATTACAAACACAACACACATACAGCACTTCATTATCATTGATGAGTGTAATTTGAATATGAATTGACTTTTAAAGTAAAAGTTTTTAATAACTTTTAATTTTTACTTTTACTTACAAGTTAATAAAGTTTTACTTTGAGACACATTAAAATATTTTTTATTTAAAATATTATGCAATTAATCATATTTTACATCTTTATTTCACAATATTTATCCTAATTATATACAAAATTCACATTTTTCTGGTTATAAAATTTCAATTAACAAAATATTTATGTTATTTCTTATGTAATTCCTACTGATTGGAGAGAGAGAGAGAGAGAGGGAGAGAGGGAGGGAGGGAGAGAGAGAGAGAGAGAGAGATTTAAGTAAACAAGAATTTAGATATAATGTTCAGAAGTGTTTTCCTAAAAAGTATTTTCTTATTGTTTTGTTTGACTTTCAGAAAGAGACGCATAAAAAAGTATTTCAGTTTAAAAGTTAAAACATTTCTCAGGAGAGAGAGAATGAGATAAAACTATAAGTCGTTTACTGTATGGAAGTGAAGGAGACTTGAATTTTTTGCGAGTAATTCATTGCAATGAATGCTTGAATTGTTTTTATATTATATTCCGTGGATATTATGTTAAATAAAACATAAAACTAAATAAATGGCAAATAATTTTGTGTCTGTAATTCATTTTTTTCGCTCAAAACCTCTTAAAAACGATTTGAAGGCATACAACGGGTGAACTAATACTTGTAAAAAGCAAACAAAAACTTTTCTCTGGCGAAAAATCCTCTCAAATAATGATCTCTTTATTATAAATAGTGTTAATAATAATTAATTACTTTAAACTCTTGGGCATCTATTTGGCTGATAATCCCCTTGTCTTAAAAAAACACAAACTGCTAATTGATATCATAGTATAATTGAGTGAATAAAATAAATAAAACCTTGAAAATCGGCAAAATTAATTTTTCTGTAATAAATATAACACATTGTGCGCCCATAATATAAAAACAAATGCACAGTTATGTATGGAGTTATGGAGTGAAACAATTAATTGCTGCACCGGTCTGCCGGACATACCGGTGCTCTCTTCCGTGTGGCCGCAGAAAATGAGACACTAATCTAATGCCTAATCTCAGAGAAGCACACAAAACATATTATTAAATACGAAACGAAACATAATATAAATTATAAGTTAAGGAGAGAGAGAGAGAGAGAGAGAGAGAGAGAGAGAGAGAAGCGTTAAAATGTAAGTAAAACACCGAATAATAAGTCTTAAGTGAAAAAATTGCTTATTTTGTTGTGAATTAAGAGCTTATAAATTATAGTCTTAACTGATTTAATATATTTTTGTGGAGTCAAGAGCAGGCAATCATTAAAAATGTGTTTCTCTTTAAAACACACAAAAAACGAGAAATAAAATTGAAATAATAATAAGAGAGAGAAATAGTGTTCTTTAAAAACAATAAAAATTAAATTTAATATTCAATTAAATAAATACAACAAAAAAAGGTTTTGTGTTTCGAGAGGCAAATGTGGCATAAGATATGAAAAAATAGTTAAAATATATTTTTATCGTCAAAATCTCTTTTTGCTGGCAATTACTGAGTGAAGCGATTGTGTGGCTTTAGAATAGAGTTTGTGTTGAAGGGCTGACATACCCTTTATAGTGAACATATCATACAAACAGGAACATACCTGTGCCCATGAATGCTTATGAATACCTGTAGCTATGTGTGCATATACTGTAGTATACACCGGAGTGCTATGAATAGGTGGGTCATCAATGTTAAGAGTATGGGAACGATTCGATTTAAATAATGATATATTTATGTTATTATTATTATTATGGAGTTTAAGGAAAAACTTCATGAATAAGGAAATACAAGAACTGAATTGAATTTGTTGTGAACAACACTTATATATAAATATTTTTACAGCGTATGAGAGAGAGAGAGAGAGAGAGAGAGAGAGAGAGCATAATTCTGGCGATTATTCGAGTAGAATAGAAATCGTCATAAAAGACCGCAACGGATATGAATTGAACTTCAATTCACTAATCAATTATGAATTATATATGAATTGTAAATCAAATTTATTGCCTATTTTTTTGGGGCTCCAGAAGACATAAGGCATTATTGTCGCTAAGAATTTATTCATTTTCATAAATATTGTTGTTTTTGTTTTATTTTCAAAGGACCTGTAAATCAAAGCTTCAGAACTGACCATAAAATTTGGGAAAACAAGACTTGGTTTGGAAATAAAAAACTTTTTATTAATACAATAAAAAACAATTTGAATGAAGAAAGGGGTAAAGAATTTGAATTAAAAATTCTTTATTATTATGGTTTAAATAAATATAAGTTTTCTAATCTATTGATCACATATTTTCATCCATCAATTAATATCTTATTTAGAGTTTTATTTCTTTTCATTCAATTATACGTCTCTCTCTCTCTCTGTCTCTCTCTCTCTCTCTCTCTCCGATAACTTTTTGAACCCAAAGGGAACGTCTTAATCAAAACATTAACACTTAATTTATTTTTAGAAAATGTTTGAATGCATTTGAAATTATATTTTGAAAACTTTAAAAAACATATTTGAATGTCTGGCGTATGTATAGTAAAACTATTCAAACAAAAAGGCATTAAACAAATTTTGTTTCATTTGATTATTTTCTTATTTAACTCAACCCTACTCTACATTAAGATATTCGTGTTTTTTACTTACACGAGGGACAGGTATGTCTACAATTTCAATGTCAATAATTATTTAAATGCTTTCTTGACAAAAACTAATTATTAGTTTATGTGACAGTTTTGCTAATGAGAAGCGAAAGTTCATTGAATTTTTGTTATGCCTTTTCAAGTCTATTGAACGCTATTATAAATACTGTATCAGAATTTCATCGCAAAAAAACTGTTTTTCTTATATTGTTATTCATATCAGAGTTTATATTTAATTATGAATATATATATTTGAAATTAAATTATATGTTAAAATATTTGCAAATTATATTCAATTTATGATTCAATGCATAGATAGGGAATAGACTTTTATTCGTGAATTAGTTATACTTGGAGTCGATTTAGCTGTCATTTGCTTTGTTTGTTTCCATACACCAGTCAATTGGGAAAACATTATATCTTAAATAAAATCTCACGAGTTTTTCGGTGGTATTTATTCTACACATTTGTTTCCCATGTATTTCACAAATAATAGAAAATAAACGAAAAACTTATTTATAATATTTGTTTAAGAAGTCATTTATTGAGTGATTTTTGTTGCCCTTAAGTCTCATCCAAACACAGTGGGAGTGCATTATAACAGATAATTTGCTAAATTAATACCATTTACACTATACATAACTGTTAATATAACCATATTTTAATAAATATACCCTAAATACACACCGCAAACAAAATGCAATTTAATTGACGGCAATAGTAATTAAAATAATTTAGTTATTAAAGCCACAAATATTATCCATTATGTTAATGAAAATCAAATAATAATACTAATAATAATAGTGTAGTGTAGGCACAGGTATGCCTGAAGAATGTCATTAAATAAATAACATTTCAAATTAGTGGCCGCCAAGAAAAAAATGATGATTTCATTAATTAAAGCCAAGATTTATTGTAACTTAATTATAGCCGATAACAAGTAAATAGTGTTTTTTATAATGAATTTTTTCCGCTCAATAATAAAACCAATAATATTCGTACGGATTGAGAGAAAAGTCGTTTTTTACGATTAACTTATTTAACGTAAAACTAATTAAAAAATTATTATAAAAACCCCATTCAATAGCTTCAAGCGTTAAGCGTTCAAAAAAAGTGCAAAAAATTATTGATTGTATGGATTAATAATTATTATGTAATAAGTGTACAACTTATTGGTAATACTGTACGGGTTGGTGTGTGAAATGGCTTTCCCCTCACCGAACCGCTTATAGCCAATCAATAAATATATTTTAAATAATGTGTTTTGATTTATAGGACATAATTAATAAATTTCGCGTTCAAAAGGGGAAAAAATAATAAAAATATATTTTAAACTTTAATCGCATAATGATTTGATGGCAAACATAGTAATCATGGAAAACACAAACCCATTGATTGTTTTCCAATCAATTTCCCATCATATTTGACACCAAATTAATAGCCCGTTATATAATATACCGTATATTACAGGTAAGATATATCGCCCCGAGAGGTATGAGAGGTATTTGTTGTATAAGATGTATATCGGGCTCTCAATCTCAATGTGCCAATTGATTTGCAATATTTCAATACATTTTCTACACACAAAATATACCCCCAAAAAATTTTAGTCAAACGATAAGCCGTGAAAAAGCAGTTAATTTCGCATTAGATTACGTTATGATATGTGCATTGAATTGAATTTTTGGCT